AACTTCTCAAGCAAAGATGGGCCAGTCATGAAATTGTTCTAACATGAGGCCACAAAGAAAAAACACTCATGAAGCTCCTTAAAGTAGAAATAATACAAACAACATTCTCTGACCACAATGCAATAAAACCAGAAATGAATAGCACCGTTGAAAAACAAATAATTTTCAAAAGGTCCTTCTACCTGGAGGTTAAAAAACTTTTTAAAGCAAACCTTGAGGGACTTCCCAGGTGGCACAGTGGTTGAGAGTCCGCCTGCCGATGCAGGGAACACGGGATCGTGCCCCGGTCTGGGAAGATCCCACGTGCCGCGGAGTGGCTGGGCCCGTGAGCCATGGCCGCTGAGCCTGCGCGTCCGGAGCCTGTGCTCCGCAACGGGAGAGGCCACAACAGTGAGAGGCCTACGTACCGCAAAAAAAAAAAAAAAAACCTTGAGAGAAAGGGGATGTACAAACCAAAACTGCAGAATTTATAAAAAACATATAAAAAATAATGAGAACACTACATATAATAATTACAGGATACCATTAAAACAGTGCCAAAGAGCATATATGTTATGCTATCTTTTGCATAAGAAAGAGGGGAGGTGCGCATGCGAGTGTGCACAAATACCCACACGTGTGTTTTTGACTATTTTTGCTAAAACAAGGAATATAGGAAGGATAAATCAGAAACCAAGGTTTATGAAAGGGATAGGAGAAAACAGAATGGAAGGTGAAGGGATATGAGTGTAACTTCTTTGGTATAATAGTTTTGACTTTTGAAATATGTTTTACAAATTCAGAAAACAAAATTAATCAAAAGGCGAACTCTAAAAGTGTACACATACATAGGTTTAAAGACCTGTTTCCTAATTGTATACCAAATCAGTAATATGACCACACAAAGAAAAGAATTAATTCAAATAACTTTTGAACATGCACTCTGACCATATATAACCTTAGTGGAATATACTCTAAACCCAAAAAGAACTGCAAAGAAGGCTTAAATATTACTTAGTTTCTTTGTGGTTGTTGTTATTGGCAATGGTGTTGGGGTAATAATTCTGAAACTATTTTGGAGAATCAACTGAGTTCATAAACACAAGGAGTCCCTGTGAACACCTTCAGATACAAATGAAGTAAGTAAGTTTGGAGAGTCATAAGTATCTTCTCACCCTCACTTTCCTATTGGCTAGAAACTCTTTTGAAAAGTACATAAATGGTTGTACAACAATGTGAATGGGTTATATTTTTTCAAATTTGTATATTATTTTTTATTGTGGTAAAAACGCATATCATAAAATTCACCATCTCCACCATTTCTAAGTGTACATGCAATAGTGTTAAATGTGTCCAAATTGCTGTGTGACCAGTCTCCAGCACTTCATCTTGCAAAACTGAAACTGAACTGCAAAACTGTTTTCCATAGTGGCTGCATCACTTTATATTTTATATTTCCAATAATCCACAAGGATTCCAGGTGCTCCAGTTGCTCCCCACCCTCACAAACACTTGTTCTTTCCTTTTTGTTTGTTTGTTTGTTTGTTTGTTTTATGGTAGCCTCCTAACATTTGTGTGGTGATATCTCATTGTGTTTGATTTGCATTTTCCTAGTGATTAGTGATGCTGAGCATCTTTTCATGTGCTTGCTGGCCATTTGTGTATCATCTTTGGATGAATGTATATTCAAGTTCTTTGCCCAGTTTTTAACTTGATTATTTTGTGTTGCTGAGCTGCAGGAGTTCTTTATATATTCTGGCTATTAACTCCTTTTCAGATACATTATTTGCAAATATTTTCTCTGGTTGCACATGTTAATTTTTCACTCCAATGCATCCTTTGATGCTCCGAAGTTTTAAATGTTGATGTAGTCCAAATAAATAAATACATAAATAAATAAATCTATCATCTTGCTAATTATATTCTCTTTGTCTCATCTATTCTTTGTTCCCTTTTTCTTCTCTTCCTGCCTTCTTTTGGATTATTTATGATAGCATTTTACCTCCACAACTTACATATTAGTTTTAGTTTTGTCTCTTATTTTCTAGTGGTTGTTCTAGCATTTACATCTTTAATTGGTTACAGTCTACCTTCAAATAATACCATACCACTTCAGGTACAGTGCAAGACCATCACAGTTAGTCTGGGGATTGGCACTGCTGTTGTGATCTTTACCCTTAGTGCAGCACAGACTTCAAATTGTTTCTGTGCTGAGCTGTCATTACCCTGTGCTTCGTGTGGCAGTGTGAGCAGAGCTGGAACATTATCCTTGGAGTTTCTGCTCCACCTTCAGCTTTCAGCAGTCCCTGCATACCTGCACCAGAGGGGTCTCATTCCGCACTCCAGTGCCTTCCCCAGTGGCAGACTGCTATTGCGTGTTACTGGTGTTAGGCTTATTTTGGGGCCAGGTTGGTTCTTGGTCTCCTGGTCTTAGGCAGGCGCTGTGTACCTACTCTTGCAGGGGACAGACCAGAGAGCTGTAAGCCTTCCTGTCCCTCCCACCTGTGGCAGCTGAACCCTGCCATGTATCTGTGGTGGGTCTCAGGCAGGAAGGGTCTTTCTCTCCCTTTCCCAGTGGCACGGACCTCTGCTTTGTATTGGGTCAGAATCCTGGACCCGAGAGATTTTCCTGCCCTTCCCTTAGGAGATGATGGCTTTTGTTTCTACCCTCCTCCCAAAAGCAGCATCTTTTTGCCTGGCTCCTTTGGGAAGAAAGGAAGGAAGATTCTCTAACCTCCTCCTGAGGCAGAAGGATTTTTTTGCTTCTAGCCTTCCTCCAGAGGCCCCGGGGATGAGAGGGTTTGTTGCCCTGGCCCCAGTGAGTTAAAAATTTTGCTTCATATGAAAGATGTGTCTGGAGAAGCAGCAGGGCTTCGTGCCTAGTACCCAGCAGCAATCCCCCCTCAGGTCTGCATGAATGATGAGGGCAGGCGAGGCGTCTGTGGAGACCCAAGGAGGAAGGGCTTACAAGTGAGAACTCCCCTTGTGCTTGGGGCTCCCAGTTATTCTAAACTGATACCCTATCCCATATTTGGACTTCAGGGAATTTAAAATTTTTTAGTTATTTCCTTTTATTTGCTTCTATGGCAGCCACCACTTCCTCTCATGCTCTGTCAAAGGTGAACAGTCTATGTGGCTCACCTCTCCTAGGAGGGGCTTGTCACACTTTGGAATTGAGTTCCCTTGATTTCCTTGTAAACTCAGCCCTCTAATATGTTCGGAAAGTTATGACTTTTGTGGGCTCTCTGGATTTTTCTCATTAGGATGAGAGTGACATGCTCTTACCGCTTTCTACATCCTAAGTGGAAGAAGAACTCAGGCTTATGTTTTGTATGTCTTTGCTTTTTTATTTCATTTAAAAAATAAATTTTATGTTATAAAAATATTGCTCTGTGGTGGATTGAAAAACAACAATAAAACTGGTCCTTCACCACAAATAGTATGAAAAGCAGCACTGTTCCAGTGCATAAAGTAGTCATGGTTATGACAAGATTGTCCAATCTGAGGGAACACTGTTTAGCTACAAGAACATTTCTTTTGGACCTTATGACATACTTATGGATATAGCACAAAAGGTTCATACTAATTCACATTTAGCAGAGGGTAAGGCAGTAGAAGTGGTTAATAAAATATTTTCACTTCCAAAGATTTCTTCTGTAGACTATCATACAGCGCTGCTAATTTTCTCCCTTTCTAAAACAGGTTCATAGCATTTGTCCCAATTTTCCCTGATGTAAGGGTTAATTATTTAGGAATCTTTCAAAATGTCTCAGATTGCCTCTGGAAAAGGCATATCAAAACAAACCATAGGTTCTACCAACCAGCAAAGGTGCTAATTAAATAGAGACATAATGAGAGGAGAAAGTAGCCTTGAAGACACTTGGTAAACTATATCTCTAATTTCCCCTGATAAAGAGTTTAGAAGCAATCATTATTTTAAAGTATGTTCTCTTATAACACTTTCATTATGGACTTATCCTTTTGCTGCTCTTCAATCTTTCCCAACAAAATACTGAACACCTCAAGGATGGTGTTGTATCCATCTTTGTACTTCTCAGGGTCTAGCCCAGTGCCTGGCATATGCCAGGCTCTGAATGATTATATATTAAGTGAAATGAATAGATTTGATAATGGTTCTGCATAGCTTTTTCGTGTATCTTTTTCCTCTGGGGTATATCCTTCTCTTACCGCCCTCTCCCCTTTCCTTTTTTGTAAGTGTATATATAGATCTCACAGAATCCCTACCTACCAGCGTCTGCCTGGCTCTCAGGTACCCACTACTGTTTGAAGACTCTCCTGGCAGCCCTTTTTGCCTGATCAGCTGGCTTCACATCTATAATAGGAGCCTTAGGACTGAGATAGTTCTGGTTCTGTTCTTTGCTTGGATGACCTGGCAGCCTGCTTGATGGTCAGCCTTTGTAGCCAGGTAAGTTTCCCATAACCACCTCAGCACCTGGGTGAATGGATTTCTATCTGAACCTACCTAAGTCTCCTCCTCATTGGTCACGTGCAGCCAGAGACTCACATACCTGAACCTCTGAGTATCCTTGAGTCACAGTAGGTACTTCATCTTATGCTAATATATATTATTTAGGTTTCTATATGCAGTGATAAACCTTCCATTAGGATATATAAGGAGAATGCCATCGAAAGCAGAAATTACATTTGTTTTCTTTTCGAATCTTTCAAAATTCCTAACATAGTACTATGCCCAGTGTAGACACACAATTACTGAATGAGAGGACGAGTTGAATGCTGCATTGAAAGCTCTTCATAAGTTCCCTGCAAGAATTAAGTCAACTTACATTTATACTTTAGCCTTACCTTACTTTTTCTCAACACCTCATTTTTACTTCTTCACATATCTCCATGGGAAGACTAATGTGTGTTGAACGGTGACAACTGATAATCTCTTAGAGGACCAAACATACCTTGCAGTTCAATATGGCTCACATTTTCCCATAGTCATATATTAACTAATCTCACTATTCCCATACATTTTAAAGAAAAGAAACTCTTACCCAGCCTTAGCAACACTTATGGTTTGTTGCTCCATTGCTTCGTGGATACTGGTTCTGTCATGCTCTTTGAGGCTATTAAACTCATCAATACAGCAAAGGCCTGCATCTGCAAGGACTAACGCCCCAGCCTCCAAATTCCATTCTCCTGAGTCTTTTACAGCAGTTACCGTCAGACCTAAGGAAACAAGCAAGCTATGTTAGCTTTTATTTTCGAAAGCATATCTTATAACTATGAAGGTAAATAACTTCCTATATTTTAAAGGGAAGGGGATAGAGTCAAGGCTTTACTTTCTACCAACAACAGATGGCATCAGGACAGCTACTTCAGGTATCCATTCACTGGAAGATCTCGGAAGATTCTATGTTCTGAAAATCTAATATGTGTTATTGAGTATTTTGTGGCAGACAGAAGTCCCCAAATTTTCTGTCTCTCCTTGGTAGGTACGCTCACTGAGCAGACTAAACTTTTAGAAGGAGCAAACAGATCTCCAGAGATCTTATGACAATAAGTGCTGAACTATATGCTGTTTACAGAGAAGAGTCCAAAGACCGAGAACAGTAGGTACTGTAGTCCAAGGATGAAAATGAAACGTTTGCTGCCAGTCACAGTGTGAAGGAGAGGATTCCCTTCATAAGTATTATCAGATTTTGAGTCATCCTTTATACCAGTCAATAAAGCAGAGCTGGTCAAACGCAAAGGCTCTGGAGCCACCTAGACTTGGATTTGAACCTTGGATCTGTCATTCTGGCTGTCGTATTATAGACAAGTTTCCTAATACAGGCATACCTTGTTTTATGGAGCTGTGCTTCACTGCACTTCACAGATACTGTGTTTTTTACAAATTGAAGGTGTGTAGTAACCCTGAGTAGAGCAAGTCTACTGGTGCCATTTTTCCAACAGCATTTGCTTACTTCATGTCTCTGTGTCACATTTTGGTAATTCTCGCAATACTTCAAACTTCTTCACGATTATTGCATTTCTTGTGGTAATCTGTGATCGGTGATCTTTCCTGTTACTACTGTAACTGCAGGTGTGGTGGGAATAGTCAGAGAACTAGAATTAGAGGTGGAGCCTGAGGATGTGACTGAATTGCTACAACCTCACGATAAAACTTTTTGAGGAGTTACTTCTTATGAATGGGCAAAGAAAGTGGTTTCTCGAGATGGAATCTACTGCTACTGAAGATGCTATGCAGATTACTGAAATGACAGCAAAGGATTTAGAATATTACAGAAACTTAGCTGATAAAGCAGCAACAGGATTTGAGAGAATTGACTCCAATTTTGAAAGAAGTTCTACTGTGGGCAAAATGCTACCAAATATTGTCACACGCTACAGAGAAATCCTGAGAGGAAGAGCCACTGATGTGGCAAACTTCCCTGGTGTCTTATTTTAAGAAACTGCCATGGCCACCCCAACCTTCAGCAACCACCACCCTCATCAGTCAGCAGCATCAGCATCGAGAAAAGACCCTCCACCAGTAAAAAGATTATGACTTACTGAAGGCTCAGATGATGGTTTGCATTTTTTAGCAATAAACTATTTTTTAATTAAGGTATGTACTATTTTTTAGATATAATGCTATTGCAGACCTAATGGACTACAGCATAGTGTAAACATAACTTTTATATCATTGGGAAACCAAAAATTTCATGTGACTTGCTTTACTGCAGTGGTCTGGAACTGAACATGCAGTATCTCTGAGGTATGCCCGTATATCCAGGCCTCATTTTATTTATCTATAAAAAAAGGATAACAATAGAAAATACTTAACAGATTCTTAGATTTTCAAATAGAATATAAATAAAGCTCTTTAAAAGGAGCACAATGAGTAATTATAATAACTACTGTTGATAAAAATTGATAAACCTCTGGCTAGACTGATCAAGGAAAAAAAAGGAGGAGACACAAGTTATAAATATCAGGAATGAAAGAGGGGACATCACTATAGGCCCTAAGGAAATACAATGAATGACTCTATGTCCTAGCTTAGATGAAATGGTCAAATTCTTCGAAATATATAAACTGCCAAAGTTTACCTAAAAAGGAATAGATAACTTGAAAAATCCTGCATCTACTTTGAAAATTGATTCTATAGTTAAAGACGATGCAAAACAGAAACCTACAGGCTGAGATGACTTCATGGTTAAACCTACCAAACATTTATGGAAGAAATAATACCGATTATACCAAAGCTTTAAAAAATATAGAGAAACAAGGAACACTTCCTAACTCATTTAATGAAGCCAGCATTATCATGATACCCAAAACAGATAAAGATATACTAAAACTACACACCAGTACCCCTCATTAATATAGATGCAAAAAACCCTGAAAAAATAAAAATCAAACAATACATAAAATGATAACAGATCATAACTAAATGAAGTTTACCTTGAGAATGCAAGGCTAATTCAACATTCAACTATTAATCACTGTAATTCATCATATCAACAAACTAAGGAAGAAAAAGCAAACCTCAACAGATACAGAAAAAACACTTGATAAAACTCAACAATCATTCACGATTAAAAAGAAAGAATAAATCTCTCAGAAAGCTAGGGAACAGAGGGAACTTCTTCAATCTGAAAAAGGGTATTTACAAAAATCCTGCAGCTAACATACTTAATGATGAAAGACTGAATGCTTACCCCCAAGATCAGAACATGGCATGGAGATCAGCTCTCATCACTTATTCAAAATCATACTGGAGGTTCTAGCCAGCAAAATAAATCAAGGAAAAGAAATAAACAATGTACAGATTGAAAAGGAAAAATTAAAATTGTTCATATTTGCAGAAAATGATTACGTAGAAAATTCCAGATAATCTACAAAAAAAATACTAAAACTAATAGTGTAGTAATGTTGCAGGGTGCAAGTCAATATACAAAAATCAACTATCTTTCTATATATTAGGAAAAAACAATTAGAAATTGCAATTTTAAAATAATATATTTATAATATTACCCCCAAATATGAATACTTGGTTATAAATCTTAAAAAAGATGTGCAAGATCTGTGTGCAAAAACTATAAAACATTGATAAAGGAAATCAAAGATGATGTAATCAAATCAAGAGATTCTCCATGTTCATGGAATGAACTGAAAACTCAATACTTTTAAGATGTTTCCCCAAACTGCTCTATAGATTCAATGCAAGTCCAAACAAAATCCTAGTGGGATTTTTCTTGTTATAGAAATTGACAAGGTGATTCTAAAATTTAAATGGAGAAGCAAAGGAAATAGAAGAATCAAACCAAAAAAGAAACTAGGAGGTCTCACACGACCCAATTTCCAGATTTACTACAAAGCTGAAGTAATCAATTTTGTGTGGTATTGGAGAAAAGATATAGACAGACAGAATAATGAAATAGAATAAGAGTCCAAAAATAGGCCCACAAATATATGGTCAAGTAATTTTTGATAAAAATGAAAAAGCAATTCGATGGAGGAAGGATAATCTGTTCCACAAATGGTGCTGTAATAATTGGATATCCTTATGCAAACAGAAAAAAAATCATTATTTCTCCATACCTCACATTTAATACAAAAATTAACTCATAATGAATTAAAGACCTAAATGAAAAATGTAAAACTTATAGAAGAAAACATAGGAAAAAAGCTATGTGAGCTCCTCTGGTTTCTGGTGCAGCACTTAAAGAGCTTAGAAGTTGCTAATCCATCCTAAAAAGTGAAAACGTAAACAAACTGAAAAATCAACAATTGTTCTAAGATCCATCAAAAAAAATGAGCTCACAGGGCAAACTGCTGCCCCCAGAATTGGAAAGACAGAGAATTATAACTTACCAGAACAGAATCCTCGACCGGCACCAGCACTGGGACAGGAAACCCTGAACTGTAACTGACAAATTGCTGGAGCCTCCTTGTGGACAACTCTGAGAATTAAAAATTCCTTAGGAACCCAGTCATGGAGGGGGTGGGTACACACACTTCTGTGAGTTTCATCTCCAAGAGCTCTACCAGGTTCTCACATTGAATATCAACAATTTGTCTCTGACATTGTAAACAGAGAGATTAAAAGTCTAAGAGAAAATCAAAAAGAAATTCTAGAGATCAAAATCACTAGAGATGAAGAATGCCTTTGATGGGCTCACTTGTAGAGGGGACATGGCTACGGAAAGAATCTCTGAGAATAAGGATACTCAGTAGAAATTTCCAAAACTGAAAAGTAAAGAGAAAAACATGGAAAATAGCAGAGCAGAATATCCAAGAACTATGGAACAACTACAAAAGGTGTAACATACGTGCAGTGTATGTAATGGGAATACCAGAAGAAGAAAGAGAGAAGGAACAGAAGCAGTATTTGAAGCAATAATGAGAAATTCCCAAAGTTAATGTCAGACACCAAACCATGGATCCAGAAAACTCAGAGACTATAAAGTAGGAAAAACACTAAAGAAACCATACCTATGCATATGATTTAAACTTTAGAAAATCAAAGGTAAAGAAAAAAAGTCTTGAAAAAAGCCAGAGCGGGGGAAAAACCACCTTACCTATAGAGGAGCATAAATGAGAATTATATCCAACTTCCCCTCAGAATATTTCAATACAATCTAAAAAATACATTAAGGCAAGACTAGCATTCAGAAGTGAAGATGAAATCACACTAAGTTCTGCACTGGTTAGATAACATCCAGAGCAGGAGTCAGCAAACTATGATCTGTGGGCCAAATCTGGCCCAACCACCTGTTTTTGTAAAAATCGTTTTCTGGAACACAGTCATGCTCATCATTTACATATTGTCTATGGCTGTTTTCACACTACAATGGCAGAGTCAAGCAGTTGTGACAGACATTGAATGGTACTCAAAAATCTAAAATATTTATATCTGGCCCTTCACAGAAAAAAGTTGCGACTCCTGATGTACAGTATTAATATCTACATTGAGACATCAAATTTTAAAAGAAATACTAATAAAAAAGAAAGTAAACAAATAATGAAGGACATGGAAATAATGCCACTTAAAAAATAGTTTACTGCATAGGCTATGATTAGCCTGAAACAAAGATTTAGAGAAGAGAAAGTAATAATTATTACATATTTAGAGAACTATCCTATGGAAGAGCAATTAGGCTAATTTGGGGTGGCTTCAAAAGAAATTACTGAGACCAACGTGCAGAATTTTACAGGGAACTACTGGAAACCTTGAGGTG